ACAACACGCTAACTCTGACCCATGCGTAAACGAACATTTTGGAGATGGGAAAAACTGAAGCCAGATTATTGATCCACTTCATCATTAACATTAAAACCAACAGCGTTATTTGTGCTCGCGAGACAAAACTGTTCCATGAGAACTTTCAACTGAAAAAGATATAAAACAATTTACAGGAGATTACGTTCAGATACCATTAAACATTAATACCTTCTAACACTGTGCGTCATCGAGTACGAATTTAGTTTTCATAGTGTGTGTGTGTGTGTGTTAAATCGCTGCAGTGAATGTGACTGTGCCATCAGGCGCACAGAGCGCACAGGAGATCACTCACAAAAAATAAAGAAAATCTATTCACTCTCAAACTTCCATTTCCAAATTACGTCCCAGAGTGAAGGTTAGGATTCCGCTGATGTGTGATGTAATCGGTCCGATTGCTCTAAATATATAAATACTGTGGTGACACACTCGTGCGTAATGCTGCGGGGTGAATACACGCGCATGGAAGGATGAGGAGGAAACGGGGGTTCAGTGATCATAACGATTTTTTGTTCCATGTTGATGATGATGACTGATCAGCTGATATAGATGCTATAGATCTGTGGTCCTGGATCTTTGTACTGAACTGAGTCCAGTAATACACAGATCGACTCGACTCGACCATTCCAATTCCAATTCATATTCAAAAGACTTTATAGTCATTGCACAGTCGTACTTCGTACATTAGCACAACGAAATTGTGGCACAGTCCTCCTCCTCGATGCCAAACATACAATTAACAAGACACTAGACACAAACCACTACACAAATTGAGATAAAAAATAAGGGGATTCCAGGGCTAAAGGCATTTAACGAAGTGGATGTACTGTACAAAAAAGAATAATTGTACCGATACATGCAGATGATAAGTGCATCTGTACAGAATAACAAACCACTCTGGTTTATTAACATGTATGTGTGTGATATGACTAACTCTGTATAATATTTACCTTATGTAAAG